GTTACACAAATCCATATATGTCAAATATTGCAGAACGTAGCCATTCCACAGAGTCTTATGAACATTGTGGCATTTCTGCATTGTGTGGAGGGCCACACACCAGATCCACAGGGAACTGTACTTCTCGTACAAGCACCAAAAGATCTGAAGAACAACCAGTTAACTAGTTAGATTTTACAGTACGCCATCATGACATATAGTCAGTTCAGTCAGGATTATAAAACTTGGCAAGCAAATGGTTGACTCTGCACAGCCAAATTGTCAACTGAGAAAGATATGGTGATGTGTGATTTTCACCACTACTAACGCTTGACAAAAGTTTGCAAACAACTGGCTATTGAAGTTGGCTTCTTGATCTGTGTGGATTACTCCAGGTGTTCCAAAGAGTGATTGCACAGCCAACATATTTTTGATAGTCTGCGCTAATATGCAAAGGCTGAAGTATTTCCTGCACATGGGTATAAGGGAACAGTAGCTGCATAATTGTTTGGCTACAACATCTCAGTAATGACAGTACAGCACGCCTTCCTGCAGTCTAAATTATAATATAAGAGCCAGATGTTTCGAGCATCAGTACCATATGTGTCATTTTGTGATTGGCGTGCACTACAATGCTTATGGCAAGTAGTGCCAAAGCTAGGTCTAGGTCCTTCAGTTGCTCTTTCCTAAGTTCCTGATTGGCCAGTTGTGGTGTATTTCTGAATGTAGAATTGTCACTTCTCATATGGTTCTTCATCTCTGTCGAACATAGCGTTATGTTACCAAACTGGCCAGGCTTCTAAGTTCTCTCTGGCAGTTTCTGGAGTGCTGGCTGCTGGAATGAAGGACAGCAAGACGATAATATGATTACTCAAAAGTTTGGAGGAATGTGAAAGCAATACAAGAAAGTGAGAGAAAAAATTATGTGGACACCTCGCTTTTATAGCCACAGACCAAGGCCTTATTAATGGTGTATTCAACAATCCCTAAGTTACATACCTCAACTATGGTCCAGAATTAAAGATGAACAACATAGGCAGTTGCATAGGGCGCTAAATTCTAGTTAACCCTCTCAGCTATTTTCTACAAGCACAATCCGAACCATCCCAACCAGCTTTATTATATATTACTTCTTTGAATAGGCTGACTTCTCAGAAAAACCATAAATAAACGCGTACAAAAATATTTGTTTATTAGTCAGATTATAACAGAAACTGCTTTTCGAAATTTTTCTATATTAACTCTCTTTTATGAGGAAAAATTAAAATTAGCTTGGATCAGCGTATGCATCGATATAATTAGTTTTACGACTTCAGGTGCGAGTTTAGAGGTCTACCATACAAAAGCACTCGAATATTTGATATTCTAAATTGTATTACATAAATTAAAATGTATACTTACTGATGAAATGTTATATTCCAAAATCCGCCAAGTGGAGCTAGATGAAAGTGTCTGAGTATTACAATAATTTTCATAATGATCTTTCTAAATATTTCTTTTGTTTGCAGCTAAGAACAGTTAAACAAGACGAAACAAAATGGCTACACACAATCATCGTTAAGGTCTGACATGAAGAAATCAATTAAAAGTTCTCTTGACCTTCTCAAAGTTTAATATATATATATATATAATCTAATTTTACCAAGTTTTTCAATTAGTGTATAAAAGATTAAAACATGTAAGGTAAAATCACAAACACGTACATTTTATTTGTTGGATTTCGTGCAGAGCTCCACGAGGACTATTTGCGTTAGCTGTCATTAAATTGGAAGTAACAGATTAGACTACCCACCGCCAACGCTACTCTTATCAAACTGAATAGCGGGATTTTACCATCACTCTTATATCTAAAACCTAGGGAAAAGGTAGTATTGGGAGCTATGTTTAATATTTCAAGTTATAAGTTTTGTATTGTTTGCTTGAGGAAGTTTTTGTAAAACTTCTAATGGAAGAAATAAAATGCATTTCTTTTCATTAAACAGATTGGACTTTGTGTTATTCTTACCGAATAATAAAAAAGAACCCATTTAACTATAAAAACATTTATAACAATAGTAGTTCAAATCCGATAACACAGGCCTGCAGATTTAAACTTCATAAAAGTTGTTTTGGTTTTAATAACGGATTTTCCATAATTTAGATACGCATATTTTGAATATAATATTAATGTTTTTTATCACGTAAGGATTTTTTTTTACAAATCGGGAAAAAAAAACTCTTACTTAGATCAAATTATTATTTCCTTTACCACATTGAACATTTTTTATTATTATATTTGTAACAAAAATACAAACAAACGGAAGAAAAGGGAAGAACATTGATGTCAAACGAATTTGCATCTTCATTCATCCTGATTTTGTGTGTGTGTGAGAGAGAGAGAAAGAGTGTGTGAAATATATGTCTTTTAGTCTCAAACTACGTGTTGTGGGTTTTTCCTTTATGTATTGCGTTATGACATTTTCTGAAAAATCTGTACATGATGGAGGAAAATAGATATCATTTTCGGATTCAGCGTACAGGAATTACTGTAGAACGTGTAAAAAATTCAAGACAATAAAACCATCGTAGACTTGTGTAATTAATAAAAATAAGAGAAAGAATGTTCAAAAACAAGTAATACAGCCAATACAAAACCAAAAAGTTAGAAACAAATCAAGACGTGTTTACATTGGACATGGATAGGGATTGCAATATATTTACCTCATTAAAAGAACAAGAGACCCCTAGAGTATTAAAAATACATAAATAATTTGATAAGAAAATAAACTAATGTTTTAAAAATGCCCAAAATTAAGAATACAAGATTTTTAGGCAAGTGTTAAATCCCTTCTCTCTTTCTGGTAAACAAAGGAAGTCTAATATGAGTTCTGCAGTTGTATAAATAATTGAAGTTTGAAGTAAATATCGATACTCTGTGTAAAGTATTGTTACGTCTCCGTTTGTTAATTGATTTTTCCGTAATTTCGTTCCAACGAAACTTTAACGACACAAGTCTTTACTTAATAAAACTGGTTTATTCTTTCCGAATATAACTCTGCGATACACTTAATCTCAATACTCGCGCTAAAACAACACTGTAACGAACGAACGTTAACTTCAACAATACCCTGTGACTGCAGTTCAATTACTCACTATCTATACACACATTACATTACCTTCCCGCATCACGTTTTCCCCCTCTTATATATACCAGGCTACCCTATCTAGTAAATACTAGAGCATTCGCCAAAGTACATGATAGTTCTAGAAACGTTGCGTCACAGTAGTCATGTGACTCGCTGACGCAACAGTATTGTTGAAAATTTCCCACTTTACCGAGTTCAGTATTTTGAGCCTATAATAATAAAATATATTTTTTACAAAGGCCATATTTCGCATTAATGGAATATTTCATATTTAAAATTTTTAAAGTACTTGAAAGTACAGGTTTGTAGAAACAAAGTTGTTTGGAATCCATATATCTAAGTGATTTTTGTTTGTTTGTTTATTAAATTAAATTGACCAGAATAAAAGAGCTGCTTCAAGACCTCAAATGAAAAAATAATAATGACTAATTATTTTCTATTTCAGATAAATGTGTTCAATCGTTTAATTACTTTGTTAAATCTGAAAGTAATTTAATCTTCCGATACTAGCTATGTTCTTTGTGGCAGTGGTGCAATTATGTTTCATAGAGCCTTGGGGCAAAAACGTTTTCAGCGTTTCAAAATATGTTTTCCCTTTCTCCTCAATTCCAATTTTGAGGGGCTATTGGTTTAACCACCCTATGTTATGTGTTTTTATTTCCAGACGGAGTCAACTTAAGTTCTTTGTCTTGTGTGTGTGTGTGTGTGTGTGTCAGAGTTACTTGGTTTGGTTATTTTGATTGAATTTCGCTCAAAGCTACACAATGGCTATCTATGTTAGCCATCCCAAATTCAGCAATGATAGACTAGAGGGAAGGCAGCTAGTCAACACCACCCACAAACAATTTTTGTTACCAACGAATAGTAGGATTGGTCGTCATGTTATAAAACACCCTCCCCAGGGCTGCAAGGGCGAGCATGTTCGGTGACGGGGTTTCGATCCCGCGACCCTCAGGTTGCGAGTTGAGCGCCTTAACCACCAAGCCATGCCAGGACGTGGAGGTTACACCAGTTATCATTATATTCACTTTCCTTGCGTGTTTTGCATCCTTTAAAAATTGGTCGTAAGACGTGAAAATTCCAGCATGAATAGAAAAAAGTAATCAAGAAATGTCAAATTGCTATATAGTGATTAGCAGCATAAGTGCGTTAAATTATATAAAAAAAAACTTCCATTGTAAAATACTTTAAACATATTTTCAAAATATTGCCTTTGATTATCAAACTAGGCTATACGTGACTACAGGTAAATATATAAAAAGACAGACACACACACACATACACAAATGCATTATCGTTATCTAAATTTTCAACTTAATACAAATCTTAATATTAAACCATATTTTTCTTAGTTAAGTCACCATTCTCTCGAAGGTAAAATATACCGTTGTTATTATTGGTATTATTAAATATTCGTTACCAGTAAATTCTGACTTTTTCTTTTATTTATAAGGTAATACTGTTATTCATTAAATAAAATAAAAAACGAAGCCTCCAACAGAGATGACGTAAATAAACCCACAGTGGTGAAACCCAAACCAACTAGAGTAGCTTTTTGTTGCAGCTCCTTCTCTTAAGAAACTGTTATAACAAAACTGTCATAAAAATATCCTTACCTCATAGTCTCACACGTATTTTGTCAAGTCTTCTCGGAATAATGATGAACACGCATATACCACCAATATCGCACCGACATTAATCTGCAAATTGTAATTACTTTTAAATGATTAAAATAGAAATAAAAAAATATTACTTTAAATACATGAAGTTAGTATACATCAGGTCACAATTAAATCATACAATATTTTTCTTCATATTTTAATATATAATCTTAACCTTTTCTCTTTTACGAATTTCCTCAATAATGATCTTTTTCTAAAAGTACGCCACCTACAGTAACTCAATATTGCTCACAGAAGAAGATAAAGGAGGTAATGTGGAATTGAATCGAACATTGTGACTGGTTTTATTTTATTTTGTTTTAATTCTTATTAACCCATATTTTCGAAATAATGAATCCTGAAGATTTTGTTCAGTACAGTTTACATTGTAGAGGAGCGTATACTCCTCGAGGTGGATCAGTTCCTCCATCTCCTCGTTTTAGGCCTAATCAGGGTAATGGCAACTGGAATTACCGACCTATCGGTAATCATGACAGGACTAATGTCGATTTCACACCAACAAAAAATTTCATACGAAGTCCTCATCATCAGTCAAATCCAAGTTTTAGAGGGCGTGGGACTTACAATTATAAGGGAACCAATCCACATCACTCTTCCCCACGTAGTCCTAATGTAACCAGATTCAACAGCCCAGAACTATGGCAGTCACCATCACCACAGGCATCATTGGCAGTAGCACAAGAAAGATGGGGAAGGCCACCCATACATTTTTCACCCTCACCTAGTCCAAATTCGAGTCCGTCCTACTTAAGGTATCAACAGACATTTTCTAACAACTCCAGTTCAATGTCATTGTCTGGTGGTTACTTTTCAACACCAAACAGCAGTCCAAGTGGGAAAAGACAGGTAAATTAATGCAACATTAGATATACATAATTTATATAATACATGATTAATAAACAACTGATGATGTTATTTGTAAAAAATATTAATATCTTATTTTTCTTTACATTTATGAACATTAGAATAATGATTTCATTCACTGATCATTCAGTGTTATTGTAAATTTTGTAGCACTGGATTTTATTATTACTATTAGGAGTAATATTTTGAATTGGTCTAGTACATAAAGTTTACAGCAGTAATTATATTACTAAGTAGTTGTCTAGCAATGGTTAATAAATAAAATTGTAAAATCGTACACTTCTAAGGTAACAGGCTGACTATTAAGAATAAAGTGTTGGGCATACAAATTTTCAGAAAAGTAATTATTAGAATTAGACAAGCTTATTCATCCAGCAGTGCAGATCAGAATGCCAGATTATATGAAAGTCTTACAAGGTACTACTTTACAAATTAAAGTAAGATTTAGTTTTTCAACTTATAGCAAAGAGTTATAAATTATCACAAAACATATCTCAAAAATAGCAAACACTTTTTAGATTGTTTAGTTATCCATTTTAAGAATTTTCTTTTTTGATTTGTTGAAAGTGAGTATATAGTTTTTAGTTTGCAAGGGTCCTGTTAAATACCATCAAGAGATGTCTAGAACCATTAATAAAATAGCTAACAGCCCATTAGTTGATAGCCAGTATTATTATAATACATTTCCCTTAGGTTACAGGACCTGTAGCCTGTGAATTTCACTTAAGTCAGAAAGGCTTATGCCCATGTCCTGATGCCATGTGTAAACTAATATCAACCTTAACCCTTAATTTTGGGTTAATATTAAGTAACTAACCATATTGTAGGAAGTATACTGTCAATACCTCTTAGCTAATAAGTCCACATTATATATGCAGTAATAAATGTAATAGTTACATTATTTTGCTAGAGGTTTTTTTATTTCTTAATGGTAATGGATCTCAGTTTAGATATAGAGTTTTAGGATGCTTACAGCTCTGTTTCAAATGCATTTACAACTAAAAACTCATTATTCCAATAACAAATTCATTTCACATATTGACAAATTACAGCTTTTTTATAGGTGAGGGTTAGTAGGACTGGCTTATAATCATTATATTATACTTCGTATTTTGTGTTTCAAACCGCATGCATCTTTATATATATATATACAACATTCATTGTTTGGTATTTATTTTAAAATGTTACCAAAAAGCAAATTACAACCACACAATAACCACAGGAAAATAGATCTTGCTGGCAGGTGAATTCCTGAAGTTTGAAAAATAAACTTATAAAGGCCAAATCTTATAAATGTAGAAAGTAACAAAGTGATAGAGATGAATTTTCAGACATGAAAAACTTGGTTGAATGGTATAGTACAAGTAAGAAAAGAACTGTATGCAAAAATGAAGTTGAACCTTAAATGCAACTATTTATTAATATTGCATAAAATATGTCAGTTTTTGTTCAAAAACATTTTAAATTGACTAAGTTATATGAAAGCAACAGTAAATAAGACTGAATGTTACTGCACAAAACAGGAGAGAAAACTGACAGTGGTTGAGAGTTGTATTATATGACGTCTAGAACAAGACTGAGAGGGAGAGCTATATCGGGACAAATACAAAGAATAATATAGATGAAGTTAATAAACAAAATTATGCTTCTCCAGCTTTAGCCAATCATATAACAAATTACAAAATGACCATGTATTCTCATGCGATAGTTAGGATACCAATAGTAATCTGTGAATGTCGGCATCCATGAAACTGCAGTCAAATTAAAATCTGGAAATATTTTGCTAATTTTTAATATTATAGAAAAATTAGGAGAGTAATTATCTTACCTGGAATCCAACTAAATCCTACTGTTTCTACTGAAGTAACTTGGAAAATTATTTTGATTAAAAATGAGAAAAATTCACTGTCTTGAGAGTGGAAAAGTAGATGCACCATTTTTAATTAGACAAACATATTAAAGTTCTAGAACATGTCAATTTCAAAGAATTGTACTGACCTAATGGATCCACATGAGGTGTAAGATGCTCTTTCATTTTGAAATAAAACTATTGGATTTATTTTCATAAGTAATATCTGTTAAAGTTTCAGTCCCAGTGTTTTCACCATTGGAAATAACAAACAATGAATCCAGTCTTATCTCCAAGATCATAAAGATGTAGAGTGTGCATCACGTAACATCCCATGCTTACACAGTTTTTTTTTGCTTTTCATTTTCATGTCATCAAACTCTTATGTTTTTTTTTAATTATTAAGTATATATACACTGATTTTTGAAAATAGATATTATAATGCAAACTTACCAGTGTAATTATTTATTTTTGATAACGTGCAGCAAAAACCAAATTTTTGCTTCGCTTTCTTTAATATAAAAGTATATTATGGTTCAGATTATTAAGCAGTTAAGCATTAGTTAATTTCAAAACATTAAAATACATTATTTCTTTCAGTTTTTTTTTTGACTGATCAGGAAACAAATCATATATCTTTCCTTTATACCCCAATAGTGTCCTTTTTTCCATGTCATAAAAATTATCAACAACTATCAAAAGATACACCTGATTCCACACCTTGCTTGCTAGGAGTTATTAGGAAGAAAAACAATTCAGCATTAAAATGGATGGCACACAGGGATTTGTAGGACTTTATAGTAAAAAATAATTTTGATATGCTATTCAGTGTTTATATGCAATAATTCACTGTGTAGTTTTTTTAACACAAAAATGTCCATAAGACTCGTTGAATAAGAATAAAAGAGTATCTGTTTGCTTCTGTGGTTTTTATTGTATGTATAACATGACAATCCATGGACTATCCATATTTTTTCTATTAAATGTCAGCTATATGTTTCTTCCTGTGGTAACTTTATCTATAGCTTCAATAAATATTAATTGAAAAAATAACTTTAAAATTAGTTATGAAAATCCTAGATAATGAATCGATTAGGAACAGTTAATATGAAATCAAGTACACCACAAAACTAAAACTGAACATGCATCGAATAATCAGTTGAGTACACTCACTGTTAACGACATATTTAGCTGTAATCCAAACAATATCTCATGAGGTTTAGCCAGCTTATAAATTTAAGTTCATTTTACTGTATATTTTTCTTTAACCAAACCAACAATGCATAATAATCTTGATAAGTGCATTATTAACTAAGAATATTGTTTTTGTTTTTTTTTATAAAAGTAGGATTTAACAAAATTAGAACAAAAAATTGGTTACCAGTTGTTAGCTTTTACATGTTATCAGTGTGTGATAAGATTCAAGCACTGATTAGTGGCAAGTTAGATATATAATCTTTCCAGATTATTCTAATTAGTTCAAGCATATGATTCAGTGTACAAAATATTGTGAATGTGGAAAAGTGGAGTTACAGCTTTTTACTGAAATAAAAGTGAAGCCTTACCACTCGTTTTGTGGCAGATAGGAGTGGTGGTAAATGAGCATTAGGCAAAGTAAAAAAAAATGTTTGGCATCCCACCTGCTTCCTTTTTGCAGCCACCTCCCCCACCTTTTTTTTTGCCAATTTTTTTCTTTATCATTTTCAATCATACAAAAGAAACAAAGAAGACTTCTGAATAAAAAATTAGATGAACACAGTTGATTCATTTTGCCCTTTTTCTTTACTTGTCATAAATTCTGTATCATTTTGACTTGGACCCTTTGAAAACAAGTAATAATCATGAAAAAAAAAGGGTGCAAACTCTCTTTCAAAGCAGTCATTAAAAAAAAAGACCGCCTCCTTCCTTTTTTCAAAAACTCTGGATGCTAAACATTTTTTTTTTTAACTTGGCTTTATTTTGATTGTTAGAATATCAGTGCTGTTATCTCAGTATAAAAGTTACATTTTGAAAATTTGTGTTTCTTTACTTACCCGTATATCAGTGACTTGAATAAGTCAGTATTAAGTTTACTTATTATATTAACACTCTTGATTAGGCTGACAGTATTGAGGTTGTTTCATATTAATTAATAAAGACTTGAAAGTTCTGTGAGTTAGCAAGAACCTGAAAAAAATTTTGTTTTTATATGTTGAAATATGTAACAAATGATACTTTTTATTGGATAAGAGAAAGACATGTTCAGAAAGAAAAGGATTTAAGTTTTGTTATTAATATAAGCTTGAAACTTGTATCCAAGTGCTTACAAGTAGTAAAATAAGCTAACATATTTATATAATCAGTATAAAAAATCTAAATTTTAGAATACATAAGTTGTTTCTCTGTATACACCTCTGGTGAAGCCTCTTTTAGGATACTGTTCAGTTGTGGTACATATAGGAAAAATACTGACATGCTAGAAAGTTTGCATAAAAAGGCTATTTATATATGACTTAAGAAGTTTGGACTATGAAGACAGGCATAAAGACTCAGATTGTGACTTGATTCAGTTGTTTAGAATTGTAAGGGTGCTTAGGTGAACTGTTCATGGTAGGTACACATGTTTGTTAAAGTAATGTAATGGTAAGATTAGAAACAGTAATTTAAATATTAGTGGTGGTAAATAAAAGTTTGAAATGCTAAGAACTATACTTGTTCTTTGTCAAAATTACTTATCAAGACATGCTGTAATGTGTGTCGTGTGGCCAAAACAACCTGCTGCAGGACACAGTATGGGTTATTAACAGGAGTGATATTTTAGCAATTTTCCCACCTTCTGTAGTTCAGACTGTAATAATCTAAACAATCACATATTTTCAACAGTTGTGCTCTACTGGACCCTTACTTCACTTACCAAATTTCAGGGCAATCCATTATGAAATGCCAGATATATAACATCTCCAGTTTTTGATTGAGTTTCTTCCTATTTTTTTTATTTGCACCAAAAGTACAGAAACTTTATTTGATAGAAAAACATACTTAACTTTTATGGATTTTTTTCAAATTTGGTACACTGATATATCATATTTTGTTTTACCCACCATCATGCCCCAAGTTGAACAAAAAGTGTGGCCTGGCTAACTAATGAATGAAT